CTCCAGAACTGTGAGAGAATTGTGTTTGTTATTTTAAGTCACCCAGTTTGGTGGTGCTTTGTTACCGCAAGCCCTAAGAAATTATTATACCCCTTGTGACAGTTAATTTTGTGTCAACTTGGCCAGGCTGCCGTGCCCCGATGTTTGGTCAAACACCAGTCTAGATGTTACTGTGAAGCTATGTTTTTAGATGTAGTGGATATTTAAGTCGGTAGACTTAGAGTAAAGCAGGTTACCCATAATGTGGGTGGGCCTCGTCTAATCAGTGGAAGGCCTTAAGAGAAAAGACTGAGGGCCTCCAAGGAGGAGAGAATTCTGCCTCCAGGGGACCCTCAGACTCATCCTACGACATTGACTCTTCCCTGCCTCTCCAGCCTGCAGATGTTGGTCTTGCCAGCCCCCACAATTGCATGAGCCAATTCCTTAAAATAAACCCCCCGCATATATATGGCCTGGTCACGGAGGACGAATTGAGTCCCTCATTCAGAGCCCTTCTGTACTTCCTGTGGAGCGGGGCCTGGCAGTTCCCTCAGGGCTTTCTCCCCTGATCCCAATGAGCAGCACACCCTCCTGGCTCAGTTTCTCCTGCCAGCATCCCTGCCTCACTCCTTGTGGCTCATGACCACTGCGTGAGGACCCGAACGCTGCCGGGCCCTGCCAGCTGCCCCACGGCACAGAGACCTTTCTCACGGCACATGTGTTCAGTGCGGGAGCTTCTGTGAACAGCAGAGCAGGGCAACACTGTTCATCCGGCAGACACGCCTGCCAGGAGTCTGGGGTGGGACCGAAGCTTGGACTCTGTATCTCATACGTGGGGGGAAGCAAGATGCAGTGGGGGCCTCGTTTCCAGTGTCTTCCCTGGCTCAGGCCAGCCTGAAAGCCCTGGGAGTTTCCTGGCCTGTTGGGCAGCAGAAGCGGACCTGTGGGTGGACAGAACGGATGATGGTGGCCACGCAGGCACAGCCACCAGAAGATCCAGGGTACATAGTGCGATGTAGCTCTGAGGATCCAAGGACCACAGGTTTGAGACTGCACAGAGCAGGGACTGCGGACTCACACCCATGCCCCAGGGCCCTGCCGGCCCCTTCCGTTCTCCCATCTGTTTCCCTTTGCAGGTCTGACTCCTCTGGGGCAGCCCTGTCTGCCCCCAGGCCGCAGCGTTCAGGGTAGCAGGACCCTCTCCCCACTTATCAGGACCTGGGACTGAGATTTGAGCAGCCAGAACAGCAGTCGCTGTCCTCAGACGTGGTCAACCAAGGGTTCATGTGGCACTTCCAGCCCTTTCCAGGGACTCGGGTCCTGTTTCAACTCACATCAGTGTCGCCGGTCTACACAGCCTGACCCTCTGTGGGTCCTGGGCAGCAGAGATTAGGGCTTTAGAATCGAACCCAGCAGGTCTCTCTCCTGTGACTCGGACAGAAGGAGGCAGCAGCCCATGTGACCATGAAGCCCCCTCCGCAGCTCTGCCCCAGACCCAGGCTTCACAGCCTAATTATAAGAAACTGGGCACATACACCATCATCAGCCTCTGCCTCCCCTTGGCAGGTAACCAGCAAGCTTTCAGCCAAACACTCAGAGGAAAACCCTCAGCCAATGAAGAGTTCACAGTGTGGAGCCCACTTGGCAGTCTCAATAACTCACGCCTTGTTTATTCTCACCAATGCTCACTCTTACCGTACAGCCTGTGTTTCAACCGCTCTGCAAATGTCATCTGTCCAGAAAGAGAAAGTGGTTGTTTTTTTCTCACCGTGCAGGGGATGAAGCTCCCTTACAGATTGTTAACATTATGTTGAAAGGAGAAGACAGGTAACTCAGACGCTGAACGTGGAGCATGTACATGACCGGCCTTGGGATTCCTCTGCCGCAGGGTGGGGGTGAGGGAGACTGCGGAGGTATGCGGCAACATTGGTGACATCAAATGGAAAAGGAGGCTAGGGGTTGTGGCTTGTGTTGCTCAGCAAGCCCACTGTTTCTATTTGATTGCATGTCCATTCGAGGGCTTGGGAGGGGCTGGTGGTGGTTATATTGAAGCCAAACGCCGCCGCCGCCCCCCCACCCCGGCATAAGTCCCCCCACGGCACTGAGTCTGGTGGCTCCTGGTGGCAATACCTTCTTTGTGGGTGCAGCAGAATAGGACCCTTAGCTCCCCTTCCCTGGTCACTCCACAGAGCTGTCCAGTGTCCTGAATGCAGCCCACTGTGGGGTATGCAGACCCCAGCCTCAAGGCACCCAAGGCCTTCACTTGCTCAGAGCTAGGGGTGATCTTTGTTTTGGCTTTTATCCAAGCAGTGCATGGAAGAGTGGCTTCTTCCACAGGAAAAGTAGGGCCAGTGGGCCCCTGGCAGGGGGCAGAGCCTGTTACATTTCCTTCATTAACTTCCTGTCTTTCTTCCAAAATGGCATATGGGAGAGGGTCAGTCTTTGCCAAGTGAGCTGTGGTAAGTTGAAAGGTTGAGAACATACAGCTTGTGGCAAACTCGGGCTCCACGTAAGATCTGTTGTTGGGTTTTCCACAAGACAGTTATTCTTTTCAAAGGGGACAGTTGCAGCCGAGTTGACTTTATTGGGTAAAAGTGGCCAAGAGGTCAGGGACTCCCCCAGACCGGGGCTCTGTCCAGCAGGAATGTTCTCTCCAGCCTTCAAGTGGGCCAACCTCGAAAACCCCCTTGAGGCTCAGCACCCTTCTGTCCAGTCTGCACAGATAAAATGGGACAGGTCCCACAGCCCACCGCCCTCCAGGCTGTGAGGACAGGGCCAGCGGGAGATCACAGCTGTGAGGGCTGACATCTCCATAAGCGCATCCTTGTCCAGCTCCACCGGCTGGCAGGGTGCCTTTTGAGAGCGGCTTTTGAGTCCCACTCTTGGCCAAATCTGGCATGACTCATTTGCTCTAGAAAAGGAATATAAATAAGTGCCACCATACCTTGACGAGTTGACAGGATTGACAAGCAGAGTAAATTCCCGTATCTGAGACTCTGAGGAGGAGAGGTGATTTAGCAGAGCCAGCTGCCGTCACCAGAAGAAAATAATTAAGGAAACCCAGCAGTGTGGAGGAAAACTGAACGTGCAGTGAGTCCCTTTTGGTGAAGAGACCTGTGATCACTGGCTGCAGGAGGAAACCCGCGTGTGTCAGAAAGAAAGGAGCTGGAGAAGCTCAGGCTGGAATGAGGCAGAGAAGGGTAGGGGCGGGGG